CCCAACCCGCAGGGCATTCTGGGTGTCCCGCCACTGGCCTGTGTGCGTCTCGAGCCGCGTGTTCAAGGCACTGGGACTGCTTGGGCTTCCATTTCTCCAGGTGAAACCCTAGGAATGTAGAAGTCTCTCTATATTATGGAGTTTTGCCCATGCTAGCTTGTTTTAATTGACAGGATAACCAAGCATGACATGTTTTTTTGCATTTCCTGCCCAGAGTGAGGATTTAAAGACAGACCCCAGTGTTGCCTGATTTGGCTGTGGCTGTATGTTTCTGTCTGGCTGTACTGTTATTCGCTGCTTTTCTGCATGGCTGTGCTGGGGTCCCAGTCCTGTCTGGCTGCCGGAGTTTCTGGGACACGCTTGGGCTTGTCTCTCTAGGATAAGGGATTCAGTGATAACAGACCGGTGGCTCCCCTGCATTCTTTCTTCTCATCTTGCCTTCCAGCGAGGCCACAGATCTCTTCTCCTGAAAGGCCTCTCGGCTCCAGTACAAACGTTTCGCCCCCAGGTCTTTGAGTTGCTGGGAAATCACGTTTGTTCTTCTCTCCTTTCCCCTGTTGCTTCGTAGACAATGATGTGAAAATAAAGAGCTTTCAGCCGGTGTGTCCTGAGACACATGTTTAAACCATTCCTGGGCTTCCATCTGTCCAACTCAGACCCTTGGAGTAGACGTGCAGGATTGCAGTGCCGGCTGTGGGTCCTGAATATTGCTCTACCCTGGAGAGTTCACACAACACAACTGTACCCCACCTGCGCCTCGAAATCTGTACCCCACAGAACACACCTGTACCCCACCTGCACCTCGAAATCTGTACCCCACAGAGCACATCTGTACCCCACCTGCGCCTCGAAATCTGTATCCCACAGAACACATCTGTACCCCACCTGCGCCTCGAAATCGGTACCCCACAGAACACATCTGTACCCCACCTGCACCTCCAAATCTGTACCCCACAGAACACATCTGTACCCCACAGAACACATCTGTACCCCACCTGCACCTCCAAATCTGTACCCCACAGAGCACATCTGTACCCCACCTGTGCCTCCAAATCTG